CCCCCGTCGGCTCCCCGGCCCCCCCCCCCCGTCGCCCCCGCCCCACCGCCAGCCCCGACCCCGGCACCTGGAAGCGGGACTCCAACCAGGGCATCTACGGCCTCTCGCCCGAAGGCGTCGATCGGGTGGCTGCGCCCCGCCACCCCAAGCCCGAGGTCCTGGGCAGTTCCGCGGACGGCGCACTACTCGTATCCCTTGACGGGCTTCGCGGCCACTTCGAGCGCGTGGTGCTGCGCTGGCGGCCCCAGCCGCCGGCAGAGGGCCCCGGCGGGGAGCTGACCGTGCCGGGCACCACGCGCACCGTCAGCCTACCCGACCTCAGGCCCGGCACCACCTACCACGTGGAGGTCCACGGGGTGCGGGCAGGGCAGACCTCCAAGTCCTACGCCTTCATCACCACTCCAGGTAGCATGGGCTGGGGCCGCGGGACCACCCATTCCCTGCCCAGCCTCACCTGCCTTTGGAGTCTGCATCCAAGAGTTCCTCCCACTGCCTCACTGCTCAGACTGCCACCCCACCCCCACCCACACGCTCCTCGGCCTTCAAGCCCTTCCCGGTCCAGGCTCCAGGGGACGCCACAACAAAGCATGCCCTTCTGTGTTCCTAGAAGCCATCTCCACCCCAGGGCCCTCGGGCATACTGGGGGCCAGGGAGACCTGGTCTTTAAGGTTCCCCAGACACTTTGTCAGGATTGCCATCCTGGGCAAGGGAAGGGGCATTTAGGGGGATGGGAGGGTCTGCAAAAACTCACTGGAGCAGTTGGGGTGGGCACCGGAATGAAACCAGCACTCCCCAACTCTGACTCACTGTAGTGAGGGTGGCAGAAGACTGTGGTCAGCGGTTACTATTTTCCACAATTTGGCCTTGACCTCAAAGGGACACATGGGGACTGCGGTGTGGGGATGGCCTTGAAACCATCAGGCAGCTTGTGTCTGTGAGAGGTGAAACCACTGCTTCTTGAGCTGTCTTTCCAGACCTCCTGGCTCACTTCATGCTTGTCTCTTCCACAGGAACGATGCCGGGCTCAGGGGAGGGGTGCTCTCTGGCTGCCCTGGGGAGGGTTGTGGACCTGTTCTTCCCCCCTAGGGCCCAGATGCCACCTGAGCTGGATGTACCCCCCATACACACCCTCTTTTCCCTCTCTCCTCACTACCCACTCTCTACTTGCATCCGCCTTCCCTAACACCACATCTCCTCCTTTCTTCCAGGCTTCTCACTGCAGCACTAATGGAAGCCACGACCACCACCCAGTAGGGAAGGGGATGTACTTAGGGAAGGACATGGAAATCTGTGGGGCTGGGGGTCATAGGAGCCTTGTGAGGGGAGGGATGGCCAGATTTAGTTCTTTTATTTATTGCCTGCAGGTTTGTCTGTTTAAGAATGGGGTGGACAGGGGTGTTGGGAGGATGGGGCAGACCCTTGGAAGGATGAGGTGGTCCAGCGAGTGGACTCAGAAGCAGAAGAGGGAGGGTCTATAGGCTCTGAGAGGCTAGAAGGCAGAACCTGGGGGCTGGGATTTCCCTTCTTGCTCTCATTCTTGACTCTCTTGTTTTCTCTCCCTGCCCCTTCCCAGGGTCCTCTCCCTCAGGCCTCTTGGCGGCCACGGATGAGCCTCCTCCCTCAGGCCCTTCAACCACTCAAGGGGCCCGGGCCCCTGAACTACAGCAGCGCCCCCAGGAACTAGGAGAGTTGAGGGTGCTGGGCAAAGACAAGACAGGGCACCTCCGCGTCGCTTGGACTGCTCAGCCTGACACGTTTGCCCACTTCCAGCTGCGCCTCCGGGTGCCCGAGGGGCCAGGGGCACATGAGGAACTACTGCCAGGGGACGTCCGCCAGGCTCTGGTGCCCTCACCACCTCCCGGCGTCCCCTATGAGTTGTCGCTTCGTGGGGTCCCCCCGGAGGGCGAGTCCTCTGCCCCTCTTATCTACCAAGGCATTATGGGTATATCCTAAACTCTGTTCAGATTAGTGTCCTGAGGGCGGGGGAGGGGCTGGGCCATCGGGGCTTCTGAGGTGGGAGAGGATTGAAGGGCAGCGCTGGTGTTTGGGTTGGAGTGGTAAAAGCAAACAAGAAGAGAAAAGGTTGGAGTTGAGGGTTCAGAGGAAAGAGGAATGGAGGAGGTCTTAGAACAATGACAAGGTGGGTAGGGGAGGGGAATAGCAGATGGGAGGAAGGTCAGAGTGTACGACAGGGAGTCAAGGAGAGAGGCTGTAGGCTTCTGGCTCTCCACCTGCAGCTTTCTTTGCCTGTGTCCTCCCCAATTCCTGGTCACCCCTCTGTCCCTCCCACCCCATAGATCTCTGTGGGTAGGTGTGGGAAGGCCTCTAGCCCTGAGGATACTGACCCTTAGCCCCCTCTTCCCCTTCTCTTCCCCACAGCCCCCGCCATCCCTTCACTGGGATGGTAGCCCACCGCCCTGGGAGCCTGGCCTGCAGTGGACAGTGCTCCATGGTCCCATCAGCCAGTTTCTCCCGGGGACGGAAGTTCTTTAGCGTGGGGGACTCCACAGCCAGCAGGGCATCAGAGATGGGTGAGGTTTGTGAAAACAGTGAGGGATAGGGCCTGGGCTTCCCGACTCTCGTGTTCCCTCCTGGTCCCTCTTTACGGGACTAGGGTAAGTCGCTCTCCCTGCCACTCCAGATCAAGCTCAGCACTAGGAGAGAGGGTGGTGAGGGAGAGAAAAGTCCAAGTGGGTGGAGGAGTCTTCAGCTGCTCCAAAACAGCAATGAGGAGGTTCTGACTCAGGAAGAACCAGGGGGGACCTGAAACTCCCTCAAAGGTCTTGGTATGGAGAGGGAGGGGCGGGGAGGCTAGCACAAGGGAAGGGCTAAAGTTCTCATTCTGGAACAGAGATGGCTGGCTACTCACAGAGGGCTGAGAGTAGGAAAATGGAAGCTTTGAGGGAGGGAGCTGTCCAGGAAGGAGGGACCTAATGGGCTGAGGAAAGGGAAGGAGACCAGGGACAAGGCAGGGGTTGAATCCACCTGCTTTACTTTTGTTCCCCACATTCCAGACAGGGATGGGGCAAAGCCTGGGAAGCCCTTGGCCCCGCCACATCTGGGCGAGCTGACAGTGACTGGCATGGCCTCCAACTCCCTGCTCCTGCAATGGACGGTCCCTGAGGGCGAGTTCGACTCCTTCGTGATCCAGTACAAGGACAGGGACGGGCCCCAGGTTGTCCCTGTGGAGGGGTCCCAGCGCTCAGCCCTCATCACCAACCTGGACCTTGGCCGCAAGTACAAATTTGTGCTATATGGGCTCCTGGGCAAGAAGAGGCATGGCCCCCTGGTGGCTGAAGCCAAGATCTGTGAGTGAGAGCCTTCACACACACTCCTATCTCTGCCCCTGTGCAAAGTCTTGAAGGAGGTCTTCCCAGTGCTTTGGGAACTCCAGGAAGGCTTCCTGGAGGCAGTGGTGCCTGAGGTGAATCCCGAAGGGAAAATAGTGGCAGGTCAGGCAGAGAGGTTGAGGAGGGCAGTGCAGACAGAGGGAGCCATGGAGAATGAGGTGGCAGTGAGTGTGGCCCTGTACAATCTGTTTCCTCTGGATGGAGAGCAGGGTACCTGGAGAGCTGAAGGGACTGGTCTTGTGTGTCTGACTGAGGAGCTTGGCACTCATTTGAGGGCCCCAGGGGGCCTCTGAAGGGTTTTAAGTGGGAGTGACATGATTTCATGCTTATCTTACAAATAACACTGAGGCCGCTGCAGAGAATAGATGGAGAAGTGAGTTAAGAGCCAGCAGGAAATGATGCTGGCCTGGCTGGAAGGGTGGCAGTGAGGCTGGGTGTGGGAGGTGAAGGATGATGAGGAGGCCCAAGAACTGCCATGTTCTAGATCAGGCAGTTCCATTCCCTGAGGCAAGGGACAGCAGAGGTGAGGAACAGCACAGCGTGAGCATTTAACTGTCAAATGTGTTTAAGATGTTCTAAGTGCGTCATCACACTTACTGCCTACAGCAGCCCCATGAGACATGCCCATTTATGGATGAGGAGAGTCAAGGCACTGAGAGGGAGAGGGCACTCAAGCAGAAAGTGGTGGGCTGAGGGGTTATCTCTGCTGCCCTCACAGGTCTGGAGGGCAGAGAGAAGGCCTGAAGAGGGTGCTTGGGTGTCCTCAGTGCCAATGGGCAGGAGCCAGAGTGAGGTTGTAGGGGGAGAAGAGATGGGGCGGCTGGAACCCTGGAGATGGACAGCACTCAGGGCCTGAGCAGAGAAAGAGGAGTGTGCAAGGTAGCCCAAGGAGGTGATCTGGGGAGAGGGGCATGGCCAGAGAGAGTGGTGACCTGGATGCCAAAATTAAGGGTGTGGCCAGACATGTCAGATTCCATAAGAGTGATTCAGGGCTACAGAGCGTCCGCAGGACTTAGCAATGGCGAGGCCACCACTGACCCCGGGGAGAGCTGCCAGTGGAAGGTGGAGCCGGATTGAAAGGGTGATGGAGGTGCGGACATGGCTACAACCAGTATAGACGTCTCTTTCTGGAATCTGGGCAAGGAAGAGAGAGCAAGCAGGGAGGGTGGAAGCTGGAGAGAGCTAGCAACTGAGAGGAGGAGCTCCTGTCAATGCTGAGGGCACAGTGGCAGGGAGTGAGGGGTTGGTGGTGCGGTGTGAGAAAGGAGGAAGTGGGGCCCAGAGCACAGGTGTGGAAGGCTCTCCCACAGTAAAACGCTCCAAAGATCGCACTTCCCTCTCTTGGAGGAGAGAGCAGCTAGTAGTTAAGCCTGGAAGCAGTAGAGATTGTCCTGGAAGGCTTCCCTGGCTACGGAGACACAGAAAGGGATGGCGGGGCTCCCTTCTCTCTGAAGTCCGTCACTAGGCTGCGGATAGATTCAGGGCCGCACTAGTCCATAAGGTGCTTCTGTGCCATTTAGAAGAAGGCACCCCTTCTCTAGGTGAGCGTAGCCCCATGCCAGGGCACACAGCTTGGCAAGGAGAGGCTGGCTGAATTTTAGTCTCTTGGTCCTTCCTCAGCCATGCGCCTTTGTGCAGGGAACAGCCTGCACAGCCTCACCCAGCATCCCAATGTGGGAGATGGATCTCCCTTCTCCTTTGACCTGTGTTCCTCCTTTTTCTCTACCCCTCCTCCCAGTGCCTCAGAGTGATCCCAGCCCAGTGACTCCACCCCGCCTGGGAAAGCTGTGGGTGACAGATCCCACCCCAGATTCACTGCACCTCTCTTGGACTGTCCCTGAGGGCCAGTTTGACTCCTTCGTAGTCCAATACAGGGACAGGAATGGACAGCCCCAGCTTGTGCCCGTGGAAGGGCCTGAGCGCTCGGTCATTGTCTCCTCCCTGGACCCTGACCACAAGTACAGATTCACTCTGTTTGGGATTGCCAACAAGAAGCGGCACGGCCCCCTCACAGCTGATGGCACCACAGGTGAGGGGCAACTACCTAAGCTCCCCCGTGACCCCTCCCAGCCTTCCACACCCTTGCCCTCAGCCAGGAACCAGCTGGGGCCTCCCAGTGAGATGGTGGACTCTGAATCCTGGCCCCACTCCCAGGCTGAGGGATAGCCAGCCTCCCCTGTACTGCTGGGTCCCTTCCATCCCATTCAGCTGTTCCCCGAGGCCCAGAAGATGTATCATACCCTGGCTCTGCCAGACTTCCCAGGAGTTCAGCACTCATGCTGATTGATTAGTGACCCACCCGCCAGGTATGACAACCCCTCCAAACCCCAAACACCAATCTGGGGCTGCCAGTATAGCCCTCAGTGGATCCTCTTATTTACAGCCTCAGAGAAGAGAGAGGAGCTCCTCCACCCAGAGTCCCCAGAGCGGCCCCTGCTGGGGGAACTGATGGTGACTCATGCGACCCCAGACTCCCTGCGCCTGTCCTGGACAGTGACCCAGGGCTCCTTCGACTCCTTCATGGTCCAGTACAAGGATGCGCAGGGGCAGTCCCAGGCAGTGCCCGTCAGGGGTGATGAGAATGAGGTCACCATTCCTGGCCTGGAGTCGCACCGGAAGTATAAGATGAACCTCTATGGGCTTCATGGCAGGCAGCGTGTGGGGCCTGTGTCTGTGGTGGCCGTCACAGGTGAGTCAGGGCCACACAGGCCTCCCTCCACTGCCAGCCCCCGGTCCTCTGGGCAGGACCTGGCCCCGGGACTCCTTCGTACTTCTCTCCACCTTCTCTTTCTGGGCTCCAGTTCTGCCAAGCCTCTACCCTGGACTTCCCCACATCCCAGGACTTCTCACCCAGCCAGCAGCCCCTGACCTTCTACTCAGCCCTGCTTCTCCATCTCCAAGAACCGGCCTCATTTTTCCTATTCCGAATGCCTGGAATCATCCCTCCGCCCCAGGCTGTCCTCCCCACAGATATCCTCAGCCACTGTGTTCCTTCCCCTATCATGGCCTGGCTTGGGGTGCTGTCATTTCTGAGCTTCTGTTGTGGGCTCCCTGCACCTTCCCGCCATTGCTTGCCCTGTTCAGAGCTGGCAGATCCAAGGGACAAGAGTCCCATGTTTCCCATGTTTCTGGCATGAAAAGGCCTCTTCCCAGGCCCCCACATCCCTGGTTCCCAGCCACCTTGGAGCAGGGCAAAGGGCTCCCTCTCAGTCCCCCTACTTGCCCTCATTCTCCCACCTGTCCAGCCCCCCCACCCGCCGCCCTGGGTCAGCACCATTTCTGTGGTTTTGTAGCATCACGGGTGGGAGCATGGGCTCTGGATCCAACTGCCTGGATTTTAATCCTAGCTCTACAGTTTATTCCCTATGGGACCTTGCACAAATTACTAAATCTCTCTGTACCTCAGCTTTCTCATCTGTCAAATGAGGATAATAACGGTCACTGCTGCTTCACACAGTCATTAGAATTAAATCAGTTAACGTACAAACATACATACTTAGAACAGTGCCTGGCACATCGAAACCTATAAGAATGAGCTGCTAGGGGCATGCCTGGGTGGCTCAGTCAGTTAAACATCCGACTTTGGCTGGGGTCATCATCTCATGGTCTGTGGGTTCGAGCCCTGCGTCAGGCTCTGTGCTGACAGCTCAGAGCTTGCAGCCTGCTTCAGATTCTGTCTTCCCCTCTCTCTCTGCTCCTCCCCTGCTCTCTCTCTCTCTCTCTCTCAAAATAAATGAACATTTAAAAATTAAAAAAAAAAAAAGAACGAGCTGCTATTTCTCCCTGATTCTCTCCCTTCCCAGTATCCTTTTTTGTCTCCTTTATCTCCCTAACTTCCCCATTGTTGCCTCCTCCCTCTTCAATCTTCTGTCCCCTGAGTAACACCCTGTGGACCAGGGAGTGGGTTACAAAAGCCAGTCTCCCGTCTCCATGGAGCCTCAGCAGAGACCTAGTTGCCAGACAGTGGATAGGTACCCTCAGGGCTGTGATTCTAGACCCCGCCAGGGAAGAGCATGGCCTTCCCTAGCCTTCTACCCCGAATCTTTCTCCCACTCTTGTCTGAAGTAGAAGGAGGGACAGGACTGTCCAGGGAGGCCCTAGCCAAGGTATATTCTGTCTGGTGTCTTGGTAAGTGGGGTGGGGCAGCTGGAAAGCCCGAGGGAGGTGCTGGAGCTGAAAGGGAAGAAGGCAAATGTGAAGACGCCTTACTGCCCCCTCGATTTCAGCACTGTCAGAGGACATGGGAGAAAGTTCCCCAGAATTTCCTTTCCTCCCATCTCAGCTCTTTTCTCAGACTGTGGTCGGTGGGGGTGGGGGTGGGGGTGGGGAACACCCACCCCCACCCCCACAGAATCCACCAGTACAATTCCTGCCAGCAGGACCTATAGGGTTCAGGGGCCTGTCTCAACTCTCTCCAATGAGTTACTGAATGGCTGATACAAATGCTACCCGAACCCCAAAGCCTATGGCTTGAGGTTTTTATTTGCTGGATATACTTGATTGTCATAATTCGCCAACAAAGCAAGTTAGGCTGTAAGTCTATATCCTCATCTCTTCTCTCAGCCCCCCAGGAGGTTGTGGAGGAGACACCCAGCCCTACCGAGGTGGAGGAGACGCCCAGCCCCACAGAGCCCAGCACAGAGGCCCCAGAGTCCCCCGAGGAGCCCCTGCTGGGGGAGCTGACAGTGACAGGATCATCCCCAGACTCGCTGAGCCTCTCGTGGACCGTCCCCCAGGGCCACTTCGACTCCTTCACTGTCCAGTACAAGGACAGGGACGGGCGGCCCCAGGTGGTGCGTGTCGGGGGTGAGGAGAGCGAGGTCACCGTCGGGGGCCTGGAGCCGGGGCGCAAGTACAAGATGCACCTGTATGGCCTGCACGGGGGGCAGCGCTGGGGCCCCGTGTCCACCGTGGGTGTGACTGGTGAGTGAGAGCTGGGGCCTGCTTCCTTTTCCTCCCACCAGTGGCCCCCAGCCTTCCTGTGGCCATTGCTCTCCCTTGCTGCAGTGGTAGTATGACCCCTTGCCCCCACCACCTCCTCCTACCCTGCCCCTTACTGAGGGAGGACCTAAAAAGAGCAGTTCGCCAGGGATTGGGCTATAACCAGCTTTGTGACCTTTAACAATTTTAAATTTTCTGTGCCTGTTTCCTCATGTGTAAAATGAGGACAGTACCAGCCGCCCACGGAATTGTAGTGAGGATTAAATGAGTTAACAGACAGGAAGCACTAAGAAAGGGCAGGCACAGAGTACACATGCTGCCAGTGTTGCCACAAAGATGATTATAATTATCCTGAGTCTGGGGTTTGCTCTGTCCTCTTTGGCTGGTTTAGCTGCTTAGGTGGTCAGATGTGCATGAGGCATTGGGCCTCTCCATCAGTAGCTGGAAACTTTCTTTACCACTCATCCAGTGAGTGACTTTGAAGCAAAGAGGGACATCCGTTCCACTCCCTGCCTCGGGCCCAGGTTGGGACCACCTGGGCACCACAGAGGAAGCAGCCTGGGGAATCCCTCCAGGGCCTCAGCAGCTGGGGACCAGAACCAAGGCAGACCTCTGGGACTTGGCTATTCTCCTGCTGACTTGCCCACCTCGGTCACAGGAAGGGGCCTCCCTTTTCCCTTTGCTCACTGAAACAGACACACCTTTTTCAAAACAACTTTTAGTATAAAGAGAAAGATTAAACACTTAAAAGCAGAAAAACAAGTTTTCAGAGCATGGTGTCTGTACTCCCACGAAGCCCAACCTTACAGTGACTTGGCTGGCTTAGTTTACAGAACCTTCTACTCCTAATTTCTTTTTGTTCTTCAGTTAGCTCCATTGTCAGAGTAGGAAAAGTGATGGGTAGCTGGAGCCTGCTGAGCTGACCAAGGGGCTGTGCCTGGCATAAAGCACATGCTGTACCACTGCCAGGAGAAAATATGTCCACAGCCTATTAGAAACATTTCTAGGGGCCTCTGGGTGGCTCAGTCAGTTAAGTGTGTGACTCTTGATCTCAGCTCAGGTCTTGATCTCAGGGTCATGAATTTGAGCCCTGCATTGAGCTCTGCTGGGCATGAGGCCTACTGAAAGGAAGGAAGGAAGGAAGGAAGGAAGGAAGGAAGGAAGGAAGGAAAGAACGAAAGAAAAAAAGAAAGAAAAAAGAAAAAGGGAGGGAGGGAGGAAGAAAAAGAAAGGAAAGAAAGAGGAAGGGAGGGAGGAAGGGAGGGAGGAAGGAAGGAAGGAAGGAAAGGAAGTAAGGACAGAAAGGAGAGACAGGGAGAGAGGGAAGGAGGAAGGAAGGAAGAAAAGAGAAAGAAGGAAGGAAGAAAGGAAGGAAGAAAAGAAACATTTCTAAATTAGAAAAAGATTACATCAAATGCAGCATGGTACTGCCATGCCCATGGGTAGTTGTAGTTCTGCCTTTTCCAGGTAAGCCAAGCCACAACAGTAAGGCTTATTTGACAGTGAGGGATAGTTTCTCTTCCTTACAGAAAGAAGTACAGACAGGGCACAAATGAGCAGGCAACGGATGCTACAGGACCTATCAGAGCTAGAAGGAACATGAAATACAATACCAGCTCTCATACCTGGTACTGAGTAGATGCAGCCACTCCCACCCACCTTAAGCTGCCTTCAGCCCTGCCCTCCCTGCTCAGAATCATTTGTCTTTCTGAGGCCTCACCAACGGCCCATTTTTAAAGCAGGTTTTATCTTTCTGGAGCTTAGTCTTATCTTCCTGCAGACGCCAGAGAAAACAGCTCTTGGGAACCACACCCAGCAGCCTCCTCCACTGTTTTACTTCTTGGGACCACCTTCCTTCCAGGTTTGGTCACTATTGAGGAATGCCGCCCACACTCAGCTGATTCTGGGGCAGTGGGGACCAACAGGTTCTGAGCTCGGCCTTTCCCAGCAGAGTCGTGCAGACCACTCAGTAATTTAGCAAGCATTTGTGGAGCACCCACAGTGTGCCAGGGCCTGGGGACACAGCCGTGAGCAAGGCTAAGCCCCTGCCCATGGAGCTCACATTCTAGCAGAGGGAAACAGACACCAAACTGCGCAAATCTGTCAGTGCTACTGAACGTGACAGTGATTAGCCCTGGAGAGAAAAGCCAAGTCCAGCAGGCGATATGGTGAATGGGTAGAAAGGGGGTAGGAAATGGCCTCTCTAAGGGAAGACCTGAAGGAGGGAGAGGACAAGGCACGCGGGCCTTTGGGAAGAAGATCCAGGGCAGAGGGAAAGTGCCCTGACCATTTGTGGGCAAGCCAGGAATGTTTGGAATGGGGGGAGGGGGATATGTGAGAGATGATCAATCACTTGGGACCTCAGAGGCTTTTGCCCTGAGTGAGATGGAAGTCATTTTGGGAACAGGCTCTGACTAACATTGATCGGAGTCAGGATGAGGGTGGAGGAGGGAGATGATTTAGGAGACTCTGGTAGTCCAGTAAGAGCCGGTGGCACTTGGTGCTTGGGGATGGAGGCAGCAGGGCGGAGTTAGTGAGGGGGCATCAGCTGCTGAAGGGGACAATAGAACTTCCTCACAGGCTAGATGTGGGGTGTGAGAGGACTCGGACAATGCCCAGAATGAAGTTGTGGCTTTGCCAAGGTGGGGAGGCTGCGGACTGAGCAGTTGTGTGTGGGGGGGGGAGTCTCTGAGCCCAGTTTTGGACTTAATGAGTTTGAGACACAGACCAGGCACCCAACGAAGATGCCAGGCAAACACTGAGTCTGCGGGTCCCGGGAGAGGGGACTTGGAGCACTGACACACAAGGGAAGTTCAGCCACTTTACCAGGGTCTCAGTGATGGTGCACACCCCTCCCCAGCCCCAGCACAGCCCTAGATCCTGGCAGGGACTGAGTGAGGGGTTGTGGCCAGACAGATGTTGCCAAATTAGGGTAGTTTTAATCAGAACCACCTCGTGGACACCACAAAAACAACAGACATAACTACTAACAAGGGAAAGAGGGGCTTTTCCTAACGGTCTCCCACCGTCTCTGTCAGCTCCACAACCGGAAGAGACTCCAGCCACGGAGCCCCCCCTGGAGCCACACCTGGGAGAGCTGACAGTGACAGATGTGACCCCCAACTCCATGGGCCTCGCATGGACAGTCCCAGAGGGCCAGTTTGACTCCTTCATGGTCCAGTACAAGGACAGGGACGGGCAGCCCCAGGTGGTGCCTGTGGCCTCAGACCAGCGTGAGGTCACCATCCCCGGCCTAGAGCCTGCACGCAAATACAAGATGAACCTCTATGGGCTACATGGTGGCCAGCGTGTGGGCCCCCTCTCTGTGGTAGCTGTGACTGGTGAGTGAGCAGGGATGAGGCAGTCCCCATCCCTGGTTACCCAGAATCCTCCCCACCCCACAACCCTCTCTGAGATCCTGCCTCAGAGGCTTCCACAGGTCCTTCCTGAGGTCACAAGCACCTTACTCTGTTCCCTGGCCCCTTGGCGTCTTCCCAGCTAGAACCTTCCCTGCCCTCCCAGTCCCCATCTCCATTCTGCCCTTTCCCCCAGGCAGGAATGTCTTGCTTCCATTTGATCTAAATCCAGTTGCAGACTGTTTGTCTCCCCTGATTGCCCACAGCTGTTCCCTTCCTTTCTCTTTACAACCCTGCTGTGACCTGGACACAGCTGCCACCTTCCCCTGATGTCCTTTTTTTCTAGTTGAGCTTAAATGGCACGCATTCCTTGACTCTCCTCTCAGAGGCCCTTAGCACCGTGGGTGCTATAGCCTGCCTTCCTCCCAGAAGTGGCCCTTGCTCTTAGCTTCCTGGGCACAGGTTGCCGCCGTTTCTTCTGCCAGTGTCTGGTGAAACCCATGGACTCCTCTCAGAGCAGTGTTTTATTATCTTTTTTAAATTAAGTTTATTTTTTTAAGTTTATTTGAGAGAGACAGAGAGAGTGAGTGGGGGGTGGGGCAGAGAGAGAGGGGGGACAGACGATCCAAAGCAGGCTCCATGTAGACAGCGGAGAGCCTGACATGAGGCTCGAACCCGTGATCTCAAGGTCATGACCTGAGCTGAAGTCAGACTCTCAACTGACTGACCCCAGGCACCCCTCAGAGCAGTGTTTTAAAATACATAAAATAAAGGCATAGGATTACAGAGGAAGCCAATTGTATTGATATTCAATTATCAAAATATTTTAAATTCAAATTTATGATTTAGTAATACAGGAACGTCTTTATTCATTAAATAATAAGAGTTAGAGGATTGTATAATAACATACCCACGTTTAGAAGTAGTTGGTCATGAGAGTAAACGGTATTTTGAAGTTTCTGTAGTAATTCTAAGGTGATGGAAAAACATCTGTTGATTCCTAATAGAATCACAATCCAGTAGAATCACAAGTACTGCTGGTACCTCAGTGGTTTGTCACCTATATTCATCATTGAAGGAAATGCTACATTTCAGTTACACGTCAGGGAAAATATGGATGTAACTGTTTCTTATCTTAGTTTAAGGATCCCTTGAGGCCCTGGGAGGCCAGGAGTTCAAGGGGGAAGTTCTCCTGCCCAAGACCTCAGCCATGTTCTTTGTTTTCCTGGATCCTAGCTCCCCTCCCTCCAGCCCCAACCACAGAGTCCCCCCAGGAGCCACGCCTCGGGGAGCTGACAGTGACAGACCTGACCCAGGATTCTGTGAGCCTCTCGTGGACGGTCCCTGAGGGTGAATTCGACTCCTTTGTGGTCCAGTACAAGGACAGGGATGGGCAGCCCCAGGTGGTGCCTGTGGCCGCAGACCAGCGCGAGGTCACCATCCCTGGCCTGGAGCCCAGTAGGAAATACAAGTTCCTGCTCTTTGGGATTCAGGATGGGAAAAGACGCAGCCCAGTTTCCGTGGAGGCAAAGACAGGTGAGAGCCCCCCAGCCCCCCAGCGGCCTTCCCACCATTTTTCACACTGCCTTATCTCTTTCCTTCTGCTGGTCTGCCCTCTGTCCATCTCTTTTGATTCATTTGAAAAGCCACAGTGGGACCCCTGGATGGTTCAGTCGGTTGAGAGTCTAACTTTGGCTCAGGTCATGATCTCGAAGTCTGTGAGTTCGAGCCCCATATCGGGCTCTGTGCTGACTGACAGCTCAGAGCCTGCAGCCTGCTTCAGATTCTGTGTCTCCCTCTCTCTCTGCTTCTCCCCTCCTCACGCTCTATCTGTCTCTCTCTCTCAAAATAATAAATAAACACTTAAAAAAGAAAAGAAAAGCCACACTGCCTGCCCCAGTTCAAGGAAAACGAGCCCAGTTCCTGGGTCTGCTCCGCCGGTTGATTTTTTCTCTCTTTTCATAATTTCCACTTCTGTTGAATGGGGGAAGCCCCTTCAGAACACTTCCTGGAAGGTGGGACAGACTGGGGGTGCCGGGGGAGGGGTGAAGGGAGCCAGGAGCCCTTTCTGCCTGCCTGGGTCTTGCCGCCATCAACCTTGTGCAGCCGTCACCTCCTGAGAGTTTTGCCATCACCCAGTTTTCTTATGCTACTGGCTTATGCTCATTGCATCCCCTATCTGCAGCCCCCAGAGGACCCTTTCCCTCCTGTGGCCTCTTCCTGGAGCCTCAGAAACTGGGAACCAGAGGAGCCCAGGGCTGGCTGCCCAGCCAGTCTCAGTCAATTCCAGCCCAGCTGTGCCCCTTTCCTGGGTTTCAGTCCAGGCCCTCCCCTGCCCCTGGGGGCTCCCTGATGCCAGAAAACTCTAGCAATAACAATGCTGTCAGCGTCCTCTCTGGCCAAGAAGGCAGTGGGCCAGCTCCTTCTCAGGCCTCAGGATGGCTTTGGGACAGACACCAGATCCTTTCTCCATGTGAGCTCCCCTTCTCCTCCCCCCACCCCAAGTTGGCAGCCCCCACTACTTTCCCAGGTCCTGTGAGGGCCACCTCCATCATAACATCCTGCTTTCCCACCTGCTGTCTGCACTCATTGGGGATCCTGTGCCCCCTCTGATGTCCCCAGGACCCTCAGAATTTCCCCAGGGGCCAGTCAAATCACAAAGGGTAGGCTTCTTGGTAAAAGAAAATAAGTAAACCAAGATGCACCCTACTAGGAAAACAGTCTTTAGCAGGCGGGAAGAGTCTGGAAAGTCGGAGGAATAAGATAAGCAGGAAGCTAGGGATTCTTTTTTCCCGGAGATGTCACGCTGGCTAAGTGGGGGGAGGCATGAGCCAGTTGGGGACGGTAGCAGAGATGGGAGGGTGATGGAAATATTTTGGGGAAGCACTGATCATTTGGGCAGTCCTGGGTTTTTCCAGCTCTAGCGGGAAGTAGTCAAAGAGTCATCCTGGAAAAAAATAAACGTAAGAATCTTTCCTCTCTTTTAGCTGCCCAAGGTGACGCCAGCTTTGGGGCCCCACCCCGCCTTGGGGAGCTGTGGGTGACAGATCCCACCCTGGACTCGCTGCGCCTCTCCTGGACAGTCCCCGAGGGCCACTTTGACTCCTTTGTCATCCAGTTCAAGGACAGGGACGGGCCCCAAGTGGTGCCTGTGGAGGGCCATGAGCGCTCAGTCACCATCACCCCTCTGGACACTGGCCGCAAGTACAGATTCCTCCTTTATGGGCTCCTGGGCAAGAGGCGCCATGGCCCCCTCACTGCCGAAGGCACCACAGGTGAGAACATGCCCTGCAGGGCCAGGCTCTACTCCTGGGACTCCCCCAGGGAAGGCATCAGCAACCTGCCAGGCCAGGGAAGCAGGTGGCCACTTGTGGTGGCTGCCATCACAGTTGTTATTCTCCTTGCACAATCCCATAGCACTGGCCCTATAGGACTCAGCTGTGGCAAAGCCCTGTCTGCAGACCTCTCAGTCCTGCCCTTTGAGGTCACCCAGGCCACCAGAAACACGCAGCTCTTTCCTTTCTGTCTCCATCTCAGAGATCCGGAGTGCGGTGGATGATGCTAAAGCAAAGCATCCCCTAAAGCCCCGTCTTGGGGAGGAGCTACAGGTGACCAGCGTGACCCCAGACTCTGTGAGCCTCTCGTGGACAGTCCCTGAGGGCCAGTTTGACTCCTTTGTGATCCAGTACAAGGACAGAGACGGGCAGCCGCAGGTGGTGCCTGTGGAGGGCAGCCTCAGGGAGGTCCGCATCCCGGGCCTGGACCCAAACCGCAGGTATAAGCTCCTGCTGTACGGACTGCACCAGGGCAAACGTGTGGGTCCCATCTCTGCCATCGCCATGACTGGTGAGTGAGGCTGTGGCCAGAGTATGCCGTCCCTCCTTCTGGCTTCAGCTCGCCTGGCCTGACCCAGTCAGGGGATTTCTGAGCTTCCCATTTCCCTTCTTTTAGGGGAAGGGATGAGGTTTATCGAGGCATAATTTACATACAATTTTGTGTGAACAATGAGTGTTGGTAAATGTCTAAGTCATGAAACCATTGCAACAACTGAGATATAAAACATTTCCATTGACCCAAGAAACCCATTTCCCCATGCCCCTTTGCAATCAGTTTTCCCAAACCCAGCCTCTGGCAGCCACTAACTGTTTTCTCTCCTTACAGTTTTGCCTTTGTAAGCATCTCTTTTAACAGAACGTACAATACATATTCTGTGCTTGGTTTCCAATCCCTTGGAATTCATCCCCTGTATCATAGTTGGTCCTTTTTATTGCTGAACTCTTGCCGTCACGTCCTTCACTCTTTCCCTCGTTCTCTCTTCTTGGAGAGTCTTGCAATGACAGACCGGTCACCCATCTCTCCCTGTCTCTCTGAACCAGCCTCCAGAGAAGATATCGAAACCGAGGCCCTAGGTCCTCCAGGGCCTGAGCCCCGCCTAGGGGAGGTGACTGTGGAGGAAGCCATGCCAGACACCTTGCATCTCTCCTGGACAGTGATGGAGGGAGATTTTGACTCCTTTGAGGTCCAGTACACAGACAAAGATGGGCAACTCCAAGTAGTCAAAGTAGATGGTGACCGGAATGACATCATCCTTACTGGCCTGGAATCTGACCACAGATACCTGGTGACCCTGTATGGTTTCCATGGCCAGCAGCGTGTGGGTCCTGCCCACATTGAGGCCCTTACAGGTGAGCAAGGAGAGCTCTGCTACCTTCCAAATGGCTGTGAGAGTGCAGAGGAGAGCAGTGTCCCCATGGTCATCCTGCCCCCCCCCCTCTGTCTCTCTCTCTCCTGTCTCTGTTCAGTCCCAAGGGAAGAGGAGGATGAACCTTCAGAACCTCCCATCAAGCCACAGCTGGGGCAGCTGGCAGTGACAGACGCCACCCCTGACTCCCTACACCTCTCCTGGACTGTCCCCGAGGGCCAGTTTGACCACTTCCTGGTCCAGTACAAGAACGGGGATGGGCAGCCCAAGGCGGTGAGGGTGCCAGGGAATGAGGACCAGGTCACCATCTCAGGCCTGGAGCCAGACCACAAGTACAAGATGAACCTGTATGGCTTCCACGGTGGCCAGCGCATGGGCCCTGTCTCTGCCTTTGGGGTGACGGGTGAGTGGACGGTGGAAGCCCCAGGGTGGGGCAAGCCGGGGGAGGGGGTCACCTCTCTCAGGTGATGGGTGAGTGGGGTGCAGGAGG